AAAGCTAATGAATAATTACTTGTCAATAAAAGAAAATGTGTTTGTGGTAATACATAGTTCCCACAGACCAATGAATGTCACATGACCTCCTCGGAGACGCCATCTTTGATGGCACGCTGCTGTGTTTGTGCATTCCATTAAACAGAAGAATGAGAATAAATGTAGATATTCAAACGCAAATTGGAAAAAAAGGGCAACTTTTGAGCAAATAATTGTATATTAATACAATGGTACCACAGTTTAACGTGCTACGGACATGTTTTACATATTTGATCAAATTATGCAGCAAAAATTAACAAGCAATGCAAACATTTCTCAAAAACTTTAGATTTAATACCAGTTGGAGCTCCATTTAATTATTTTAATTATATTAACAATTAATTTAATTAATGCTAATGCCACATGGACACTCTGGATTGCTGTTATTGTTTATTTCCGCGTTTTTGACCGTATGTTTTGGTGAATGGTGGGCAACTGATTTTTCCAGGCGTAAAGAGCAGTTTATTTTATGACACAGATCTTTTTACAGAAGCAATGCTGTTTGTGAACATTGTTTTAGCCCACCATAGAACTATTATCTATTTAATACATTTACGTTGCCCTCGAGAGCCTCGGACGCGACACCGATCCTCCTCATAATAAAGTAATCTAACGCTAAATAATGAAACTCTCAAGTTACCAGCTATCAGCATACACAAGTTAGTACTGAGTAAATTACGTCTGTCAACACATTATAAGATACGATACGCACCTGACACAAAGTGCTCCGAGCATATTCTTGCGTGTTTTGAGGGAGTTTCTTGCCTGTTTATCTTCGCAAGCCATAACCTCCGTGGTTGTTCTGACAAAAGCTTAGTCTTCTCACATTCATGAAGTCTAATGATGGGTATACTGTAAAATCCAAGTTTAACGGAACCTCCGGCACGATTTGAACATCCATTGACCCAGCAGGAGATGACCATTTTCAACTTTATCACGACATTAACACGTTTCAGCTTCTTTTTCTATTGTTTTGCCCACAGCATGCCAACACAAATGGTGCCGGGTCGGCAAATCCCCGTATGTAGTGACGTCATGTGGGAACTATGTATAGCTGGTCTGCATCCATTTGTTATGCAATGTGCAATTTGTAAAGTACAGGATAGAGAGGATTGGATTGGCTTCAAGATTTTAACTTATTCCTTTCATTTTGAATTGAAAATTGCTTCTTAACATCAGCTTCATCATTCTGAAAAATTGGTAGAAGTAAAACAAAAGAAAAAACATAATAACCAATCAAATATAAACATGAATAATCCTTATACAGGACTAACTTAATTAAGAATACTAGTTGTAGCTGGGCTAAACAGAACTGTTTTTGAACTTTGTCAGAGTAGAAAGTCTCACAATTTCAGGAAGGCCTGAATCAGGAATGGGGACCAGCAGGAGTTCAGTTTCTGTGCTGACATGGTAGGACAATCTGACTCAAAAATGACAACAGTCTTACACAATAAGAACAACGCAAAGTATGAATTATGTAATGGCCAGCAAAAATATTTATTTTCTCAAGCGTAATGATTCTAGATTTTTTTTTCCTATACATCAAAGCTCTAGCAGTGTCTAATTCTCCTATAGTGTCTGCAGTGAGTCCTTTGTCTCTCGTGTTGCATTGTCTCCATTTTCCCCATATAATAAGCTGACACGATCTTGACCCACTTCCAGGTCATGGGTATTGATCATTCCTACCACTTCACACAACCCTCTCACATAATGGTGTAGCCCGGAGCTGGATGTGGCCTGGACCAGTTGCGGTGGCTCTATTTTGTCCAATGAAAGCATACCCCATATTTCTCCTGTGGCTCTGGGTGAAGCTTTTATAACAGCAATGGATGTGGTCAAAGTTTGTTTTCAGATGCATCAAAGAAAAACATTTCATCATGTACCAACCTTAAAATCTAATATGCAGTAAATTAAAGTAAACAATATGCCTCTAGTCTTAAACCAGTTGTAAAACAGCCATGCCCCATTTTTTCTTTTTAAAATGTATACTTTGAAAAACAAAATGATGCATGTTACACGTGGCTGAGGAGATACATGTACATTTGTGTAAAAACTCATTAGCATTTTTTTATGTGTTACCCTGTCTGTCAAACACACAATCAATAGGTTTTTAATCCACTTTAAATGCGATTTTTGGTTCTCTCCATGCTTTTTTCTTATGAATAGCTTTTGTCCTCCAAGTTTCCGTTTGCGTTTCCAAGCTATTAATCAAGCAAAGGCTGGCTCTGTTTTTAAGTCAGTGTGTTTCAAATCCATCCATACACGCGGCATAATGACCAATCCACACAACCATTATACTTTATCATAACCTATAAATCATTTAGCCCACTGTAAGAACGCCCAGCAGGAGAAGCCTAGACATTTTTGCGCAAAAGGCAGAAAGCAGCTGCTGGCATATTTTCTTTGTTTTGTTGGTATGTTGTCGATGCTAATTGCCAGAAAATAATCAATTACATGAGAACAGATTGCAAGAGAAGGAGTAGGTGTTAGAAATAATAATAGGCATAGGAATAGGCAACTAATTTAGGTATTTTTATAATAAGGGTAATCAGAAACATTTGGTATTTCTTTGGTATAATTCAATCATACATTCTATATGGTATATGGTACAACATGAATACCAAGCAAACAAAACCAAATAAAACCATCTTCTACATATTGACTAGAACCAGGAAGTACGACCACATTAGTCCAGTCCTCAGGTCTCTGCACTGGCTTCCTGTGGCTCAGAGAATAGATTTTAAAACAGCTCTGCTTGTGTACAAGTCTCTCCATGGCCTCGCACCAAAATATATTAGTGACATGTTAGTCCCATATGAACCAGCCCGGACTCTGAGGAGCACAGGGACTGGACTCCTGTTAGTGCCCAGAGTCAGAACTAAACATGGGGAGGCTGCTTTTCAGATTCATGCTGCTAAAATCTGGAACAATCTTCCTGAAGATGTGAGACAGGCCTCCTCTCTGACAATGTTTAAAACCAGGTTAAAGACAGTTCTGTTCAGCTGTGCATACAACTGAGGGATTTTATATTTTTATCTTTCTTTTTAATGTTCTGTGATTATTTATGATTTTAATGCTTTCTTATTTTGTTCAGCACTTTGAATTGCCTTGTGTATGAATTGTGCTATATAAATAAACTTGCCTTGCCTACTCTAGAAAATCAATGAATGTTTTGCCCAATTACGTATGACTTGTTGCATTGCGAATCATTGAATTATGAATATAAAATGTCAAAACTATTCATATTGGATGTATACTGGAATGAGTCATGCATGTGTGAGAGATGAAAAAGAGCTTTTGAATCTCAATGGGACTTAGGGTTAGATAAATGTTAAATAAAACAAAACAACACATCTCCATTGTCACTATTACAATGCAAGCCTTTAATAACTTCACTTCTCTTATGTAATATTATTTGTCAGTTCTCCACAGAGATGTTGACGCTCTTCTTTTGCCATGTGCAGGACTCTGTTGCTGTTTTGTTGTGCAGTTGTTTTGTTCAAAACGTTTTGAGATTTAAAATTTCAGAAATATATAATGATAATCTGCACAGGGACAAAAGCACAATCTGTCAGTTATCTGCCAGATTAAAAACAGATAATGAGAGTATAAGAATATTAAGAAATACATGAGCAAAAAGTTGTTCAATGCAATCCTTTGTCATCCTGTGTATTTTTTTCCTCCATCAAGATTTTAAGACTTTTATGACAATTCTCTGTTCCTTATTTATTTTGCCCGCCTGTTTCACATTGAATTATTTCACTGGGAGTATCTTGCTGCTCTGGCGTGTTCCATACGAGCTGTTTTGCTGGTGGACGGTGGGGAATTGTGCCTGACAGTGCAGCCTCTGGCAGGATAACTGAGCCCCGGCCTGAGTACTGCAGTCCGCTCCCATCTTCTTCCATCTTTAATTTTTTATACTTGGGGCATTATATGGGGGTATTCTAGTTCTTGGACGTTAACCGAGAATGACAGAACATGCATACGTACTAGGGTACGATTTTATTTCCTGCTTTGGACGATTTTGATTTTAAATCGATTTTCATTAAAGTCACTCAAGACAAACTTTCCCCTTAAAAATATGTTTTGATCTTTACGCTCAATATTCAATATTCAAGTTTCAAAACTATTTTTAATTTGTTTCCCCCAATACGTCTTATAAAAGTCTAGTACAGACTTTGCTGATATTGCAAGTATAATTCATGTGCTGCTGGAACTCTCACAATTTCCTTCATTCGATTTTAACATTTTTCACGAATTCGATTCTTTCAAAAGCCGATTAATTGCCTACTTTCGATTTATTGCCCAGCCCTAATACGTACACATTTGAAACATTGATTCCCCTGGTATAAGTTTGCTCTTTTTGGGGTGATTTGTGTTCCTAATCATGAAGTCTGAATACTACCAGTTTATATTAATTCAAGTATATTAGAAGAGTTAAAAAAATGTAACAAAGAGTGATGGTAAAAAAAAAAAAAAAAAAATCTAGTAATTTAATGTATGGAGCAAGAATGCAAAATGAATACATAAAAAGGCTGATATTTTTTCTTTATTTTGCATCTAGAAGCCCTTTTGTTCTTCCAACCTTCATATTGAAAAAAAAAACAGTTATGATATCAATATACAATATAGAAGTGTTTGGGATCATCTCTTCATCTGGTGGCTTGTAACCTTGCAACTGGTATTATTACAATCCATTGGTTTTGGAGTAATATCAATCTTTATTTATAATCGCTTTTCATACAATAATGCAGACAAAACGTATCTTTGAATGGGACAAAGGTCCTCAAATTGAAGGCCTGACGGAACTCTCACATCTCATTGGTGACAAGCAAACCCTCCACCAGTATACACTGTGTATACTGGTGGGGGGTCGGGTGTGTGAGTTTGGGTTATTGTTTTTGAACATGTTGAGAAGACCATTACATGAAATTAATTCATTATTGTGTAACTTTCTCCAGCTCCTGACCATCGACGACGACTTCTGCGGACTTGATATGAACGCGCCGCTGGGCGTGTCTGAGATGGTGCGCGGGAAACCTCTGTTCACTGAAGCAGCAGACAAAATGACATCTGTCATCGCCTACGTCTACAAGAACCACTCACTGGTCTTTGTGGGCACCAAGGGCGGACGCCTCAAGAAGGTAAGAAAAAAGATTGGGTTGGCAGAATGAATGGAGGAACGTGCACAGAATGGCGGATGCAGCGAGAGATTGAGTTTACTACTGAATGTGGTCTTGGGAATTTGGGACTGCTGGACGGCAGGATAGATAGTAGCAGTAAGGCAGATTGACTTTCAGCAGAAGCAGCTGAGTCGGCAGGTTTCACGAGAGAACGAGGTGTGCATTGCCTGACAGAGGAATTGGAGGAAGTGCGGAGTGAATTTAAGTTACTTTTCTACAGAATGCGGATACAAAAAATCTCTTGAGGGGTTTCAGGACCTGGGGCTGAACCTATCTGATGTCTGCAAACTTTGCAAATGTGCAAACTTCTCATTTTCTCCATTCTACACATCAGATGCATTTGAGAAGCGCATCAAGAGTATCTGATGCACTTTTTTCTTTACTTTAGGCTTGTGTAAAATCAAACCCCCAGGGCCAGATTGTAGCCGACATCAGCGCGTTGCAGAAGTTGCCAGACAGCACATATCAGCATGTTGCAGAATTGATTAGATGAAGTTTCTGTCCATTTCTCCAGGCAGCGTGTGAGATGAAAATAGAGTGTAATACATCATTTATGAAGTAATTTATGTCACTGTCGTAGTAAATAACTGTTTCTGACACGCATTTTAGGTTTTGATTTACTGCGGAGGATTAGATCGCATCATATTAGTTTCACATGGCGCAGTGGCACACAACATTATCTCCCAACACAGCCTGGGCTACAGGAAATATTACTTATTTTCAGTGGAATCAAAGTCTAAGGTTGGCTTTTGAAACAGTGTCATGCTAGAGCTGTAATCGGGCCTTAAAAGTTTATAAAACTAAGGCCTGACCAGACTTGGGGCCCAACCTGAACCCTAAAAAGAAAAACTGTTTCTTGCCCGGACCTGACTGCACCCCCTGTATGAAACAGACTGCCTGCACTCCAAAGCACCAATTAATAACACATAGATAATAATGTATCTAACTCTATATACATTTAAAATGGTCTTAATTGATGGCAATTAGGCCTGTCGCGATTGTCAATAAATCAATTAATCGCACGATAAATACAATTTGCTCAATAACTTTTTTGGCCGCGATAAATCCCATTTGCTTGTTTGTTTCCCCCGTCTCTCTCGGGTCAGAGAGCCGCAAAGTGGTCACGGGAACATTAGCGGTCTAGCAAGCAGACGGAAATTACTCAAAAATACAAAATACAGCCAAAACAGGACCTAAACCAGGACTTAACCAGGATTGACAATGGGGGACACAGTAGTTGTGAACATATGCCGGCAGCTGAGTTCTCATTCAGGCTTGATTAGTGACTATGCTAGCACAGCTAGCGTTAGCGTGTTCGCCGATGCAGAAGTACCGTACCATACCAATAAAATAAACTTATGGCGCACCTCCGTGAACACATACTGCTGTTATATAAAGTCTCTAGAAGGTCTCTGAACACAGAGATGCTGCAGACTTGCATTCTTGAAGTAGAACTTTACACAAAAAACCCGCTAGCTTAGCTGTTAGCATCAAAGCCCGCCCCGCTACTTCCGGTGGGCGCTACCGCAGCAGGACTTCTGTACGCCCCATTGGTGAACCCACATGTCAGTCACTTGTCATTCGCCTGGTGTGTGGGCAGGTGGGACTACTCCTGAGAGATCCTGTCTTAAGCACACAAAGTCAACATGTTGGTATTTCTTTCTCGTAATCTGCCATAAAGTCTGAGAAATTATTGACATTTGAGGCATCTGTTTCATATTTTCTTTACATATTTTCTTTCTCTTTGAAAAGGTGTACCTGCATTATCATTGTAATCGATGCAAATGATCTCAGAACGACAATATAATCGCTTATCGCAATAATTTCTGAGACAATTAATCGTCCAGCAAAATTTGTTATCGTGACAGGCCTAATGGCAATTGATTCCAGGCAGAACACATTATCCCGGGCACCATACGCACTTCTTTTAACTGAATACAAGCTGTTGAGACTACTCTTCATGCTTGATTGGAGGGAATGGAGGTCACTCACTCAGAGCATTAGCTTAATAAACATAATACATTTGTCAAAGATTGAGGTGATGGTGATGTGATTTTGTGTGAAGAGTAGAAGTCTTATTTTCAAGTCAAGTCAGCTCTTTTTCATACCATCGCTCTCTTTTGCTGTACTGCTACGTAATACATGGTGGCACACTAGTGGTTTCTGTATATTCCCTCACATATCCCAATGGTGTAAAACCTAGCTTGTTTCCCAGGCTGAGTTGTCTTATTTTGAAGTATATGTAGTACCCAATAATATAGATTGATTTATTTGAGTGATTGTAGATTGAGGACATCCCAGTGTAGGGATATTATTCTACTTCCTCAATATTTTCAATATTTTCAACATATTCATATTGTATACAGTGGGGCAAAAAAGTATTCAGTCAGCCACCGATTGTGCCAGTTCTCCCACTTAAAATAATGACAGAGGTCTGTAATTTTCATCATAGGTACACTTCAACTGCAAGACAGAATGTGAAAAAAAAATCCAGGAATTTACATTGTAGGATTTTTTAAGAATTTATTTGTCAATTATGGTAGAAAATAAGTATTTGGTCACTTCAAACAAGGAAGATCTCTGGCTCTCACAGACCTGTAACTTCTTCTTTAAGAAGCTCTTCTGTCCTCCACTCGTTACCTGTATTAATGGCACCTGTTTGAACTCGTTATCTGTATAAAAGACACCTGTCCACAGCCTCAAACAGTCAGACTCCAAACTCCACTATGGCCAAGACCAAAGAGCTGGACACCAGGAAAAGAATTGTAGACCTGCACCAGACTGGGAAGAGTGAATCTACAATAGGCAAGCAGCTTGGTGTGAACAAATCAACTGTGGGAGCAATTATCAGAAAATGCTCTGATATCAAGACCACTGATAATCTCCCTCGATCGCAAGATCTCATCCCGTGGGGTCAAAATGATCATGAGAACGGTGATCAAAAATCCCAGAACCACACGGGGGGACCTGGTGAATGACCTGCAGAGAGCTGGGGCCAAAGTAACAAAGGTTACCATCAGTAACATACTACGACGACAGGGAATCAAATCCTGCAGTGCCAGACGTGTCCCCCTGCTGAAGCCAGTGCATGTCCAGGCTCGTCTGAAGTTTGCCAGAGAGCACATGGATGATACAGCAGAGGATTGGGAGAATGTCATGTGGTCAGATGAAACCAAAGTAGAACTGTTTGGTATAAACTCAACTCGTCGTGTTTGGAGGAAGAAGAATACTGAGTTGCATCCCAAGAACATGAGCATGGGGGTGGAAACGTCATGCTTTGGGGCTGTTTTTCTGCTAAGGGGACAGGACGACTGATCCGTGTTAAGGAAAGAATGAATTGGGCCATGTATCGTGAGATTTTGAGCGAAATCCTCCTTCCATCAGTGAGAGCTTTGAAGATGAAACGTGGCTGGGTCTTCCAGCATGACAGCATGATTCCAGCATGATCCCAAACACACCGCCCGGGCAACGAAGGAGTGGCTCCGTAAGAAGCATTTGAAAGTCCTGGAGTGGCCTAGCCAGTCTCCAGACCTCAACCCCATTGAAAATCTGTGTTGCTCGGCAACAGCCCCGAAACATGGAGGAATGGGCCAAAATACCAGCTACTGTGTGTGCAAAGACCTATAGTAATCGTTTGACCTCTGTTTTGCCAACAAAGGTTATATTACAAAGTATTGAGTTGAATTTTTGTTATTGACCAAATACTTATTTTCCACCATAATTTACAAATAAGTTCTTTAAAAATTCTACAATGTGAATTCCTGGATTTTTTTTCACATTCTGTCTCTCACATTGAAGTGTACCTATGATGAAAATTACAGACCTGTCATTATTTTAACAGAGAGAACTTGCACAATCGGTGGCTGACTAAATACTTTTTTGCCCCACTGTACGTAGTAGAAATATTATAGATGATTTATTTTTTATATTTGAATCATAAACTGTACCAAACAAAGACAATTTTATAATTTTAGTAGTACACATGAACACATATTAGAAAAACATTAAATCAATATATAAAAAAATCTATAAAAGCACTCCTTTCAATGAAGTCATGCTATCATTGGCTTGATGATTTTATTCTCATGTAGGGGTGGGCGATATGGCCTAAAATTCATATTGCGGTATAATTTGGGACACAGACGGTAGACGGTATATATTGCGGTATAATTTGGTGTGTGAATTTCAATATAGGTCTAGCAGGTTCTTGCATAAAATAGTCAAGATTGTTACTTATTTATATATTAGAATCTAATATATATATTTTTTGAGTTATTCAGTTGTGAGACAAATAAAGAGACAAATGTTGTAACATACATTATTTATGTAAGTTACAGTAAATACCATTCACTGTAAAAGCAATTTTTAAAAAGAAAAACATATGCATTCATTTAAAATATAAAAAACTCATGTTGAAATCAAAGTCTGTAGGAGTTAGACATGGTCATTATTTATAGTGTCTGAGAGTTTTGTGCAGGTACATGACTTCAGTAAAAGCTATTGTTCGTTTACAAAGCTGGTCATGACATTTGTTGACGCTCCCTAAGCGCTTTTCTCTGCGCTTGCAGTGAACTGGATGATTCAATGGATTTATGTTCATTAAAACAGCGCATTGGATTTGAACAATTGATGTAAATGATCATTTTGGCACAATTAATTTTGTTTAACAAAGTATTCTTTGTGAGATATTGACCGCGGAGGTCCGAATCTTTCCCAACTTTCCCAAACTTCTGCTGTGATGCTGCGGACACGGCACACGCATGGATCTATTTTGGCTCACACAGGCGCTTCGAGCCTACGCCCCTTTGACACTGATTGGCCAAAAGGTAGACGCTTAAACTGTGATTACTGAGTGTGTATTTACCTCTGCTGGGGCCGCTGTAACAACAATACAGAGACAGAAACACGGTGTTAATGCCGTGCTGTTGTTCGTTGTTTCCAGTGGTGTCTGCTAGGCTAAT